CTGTTTTTCGGGCCTGTCTCTTTAAATGCAAATGAGCTGCTGCTCCCCGCCCCCTTTTCCAGAATAGAGCTGTGCCATTACAGCTCTTACCCTCTAAAACATCTTGTTTTGGTTCTGATTATCATGTTTATCGTGCTGAAATCATGCGTTTTAAACCATATGAGTTTAAACTTCTTATATACGGTTTTCTGAGAGCACACATCCGAAGCACACGGACGGAAAGCGGCTGTCACAGCATGTGAGTACTAAACTAAGTTCTCATTCACACACAAGTTTACGTTAAAACACACGAGTTACAAAAACAGTCGGTTATGTCTGTGAAGGTAAACAGCTGGGAAATAAATCGCATGTTTATTTTAGATCTGTGTGGCAGCAGCAATATACAGTAAATAAATCAATAAATCCACTGCTCTCTTGTCTCTGAGGCTGGGACTCTAAATAGTGTTCTGTGCTCGTCTGTGCAGCCAATGACAGAACAGTTAGCATGTTTTGCTCAAACTTTCGCCATGGCATTAGAACTAGCACACCGTTGTACCAGTTGTACCAATCAAAATGATGGCGCCTTGGGTGTAAACTTACAGATTAAGGGGTGGTAATATTATTAAGGGCCAGAAATCTCCAGTAACACTTACCTACAACAAACTTTACATTTTATCCCTATCCATATTGAGAGGGATTTGTTCATATACTGTATCATTTGCCAAAATCCCCGCTGTAAAAACCTGTGACTCTAATAAGTCAACAAAATAAAACAAGGCTTTTGAACCTGTCTTTACATTCAGATTTCTGTTCTGGAAATGGTGATGTCTATTAGTTACATATTCTACCCTACTCACTCACCTAGGGGTGTTTTGCCTTAAATACAGATTAATATTACTTATCAATGTGTACTTAATACAGTAGTGTTAGGGTTAGAGTTTGGTTTAGGGTTAGTTGCTGGTAAATATGCATTATTCACTGTAATAGACCTCAGTCAATGTAGCGCCATATTTAATTTTTAACAGGAATAAAAATGAGACTGTGAGGGACTGAAGTACAGGAATTCAATTGGATTTGTTTAACAACATACCAGTACCAACTGTTTAGACAAAACGTCCTTCCAAAAACTTTCAGCAGAGAAAACTCCATAAAGCAGTTTTGGAAATTGTGAAGATTACATGATCTAGGAGCTTTATATTGTGCGTGCTACTGTAAAGACTGTAAGTCTATCCTTCATAGCCTTGTTTTCATCCACGTTAAATTCAATATGATGTCTAACCCAACGAAGGTCTACTACTATAGTAAGTACAAATGAAATGTATAAAAGGGACACTGTAAAATAAAGAGTTACTGAACTGAATCAAATGAAATGAACAAAAACAGTCACTGCACTATTAATAACTAAAGTAGAATAGCTTATTAATGATGCCTAATTAGGTAGATGGATGCACAGTTGAGCATTGCACGTCTCTGTTCATGACACAGAAATGGAGACTAGAACACTTACAGAAGGCAGAACGGATGGCTTCAGTACAGCAAGAGTGATTTTGGTCATTTTGCCATCGTAAGTCAATCCCTCCATTTCCACGGTGTGGAATTTGTCTTCCGCCTCAGCACCCAAACACACCTGAGAACACAGGTGAAGAGAGGAAACTGGTTGGTTAATGTGAGTTTATGGGCACTCGAAATAATGAATCTGTAATACAAATCATTGGTAGAGTGATGATGAACACCAAGAGCAATATTCCCAATACAGAACTGAATGCAGTGTTATAGAACAGAATGTTATAAAACAGAGTGTTATTTATACCAGGATAGAATGTTATGCTTTAGAATAGAATAGAATAGAATAGAATAGAATAGAATAGAATAGAATAGAATAGAATAGAATAGAATAGAATAGAATAGAATAGAATAGAATAGAATAGAATAGAATAGAATAGAATAGAATAGAATAGAATAGAATAGAATAGAATAGAATAGAATAGAATAGAATAGAATAGAATAGAATAGAATAGAATAGAATAGAATAGAATAGAATAGAATAGAATAGAATAGAATAGAATAGAATAGAATAGAATA